TGCCCTCCGAAAGGCTGTTTGGTAAATGCAATTCATTAGTAGAATTTTGTTGAATACTTCAACGACATTCTTCCTGTGGGGAAGGAGCATGGAGCGCCCCGTTAAAGCACCTCCGGTGACGTTACCTGCCTGTGCGCACTCACTGGAGTGGGATCGGAAAGGAGTAGAGCCGTTCACACACGTAGCCTATCCACTGGCTGGATTAGGACGGAAAGTGACCGCATGGTCAACTGGAAGCTAGTTCAGTTTGCATCCCTTCTTCACAGTGCCACTGACGCTATTTTAACGTAATCTCGCCTATTCAAGCATAATTCGGTAGGTTAGTAGTATGACATTCGTTAAGTGCGGCCGCAGAACCAAACCTTACTCAAAGGGTAGCCAGCCTTTGTTTCTCGTTCTCGGCTTATAGTCTGACTGCGGTTTCGCTTATTTTCGGGACTCAGCTCTCACGCCGTTTTATTTGGTGTCGTTTCTTAAGCTTCTCGCTCCATGAACATGGGGACGGAATTAAACTTCGGAGACTGTACAGACATGGACGCGGAGCCCATGAAACGTTGCATGGCTCGTCCCAAGGTTCCTCCATAATTCGTCGTAAATTTACATGACTCCAGGCTTTCTGAGCATGTAGTCCTATTTGTGTATCCAAAACTTGATTGGGCTGGACATCGTTTCGAAAATGTGCTGCTGTTAAGCATATGCCATAACATAAGCATGGGTAGTGAAGTCAGAGATTATACCATATGTCTCGGACATCATTTCAAAACTGGGCTGCAGGCTTGCCTACAGCACTTTTTCGCAAGACTCATGTCGAACAAACGTGGCCTCTCAAAGTCAGCCATTCTATAGGTCTTTCGAGTCATTTCAGTGAAATGCTTGGCTTCTCAGACTCCAGAATGTAAGCAGGGTTTGTGGGTGCCACCTCTTTCTACAATCTCAATTATTTGGCAGTCCCAAGTCCTTTCTGATTCTTCTAAGGAATTTTTAAAGAAGTGTCGGTAAGTATTACAGCAGTTGGCGGAGTATTTCGCCCCGCTTGGGGGTATTTTGTGAATTTGCTAATAAAAGCGAAGAGACGAGTTCCAGGAAATAGTCGCGGAGAAAAAGACTCGATTTCTGGGACAAGTGGTTTATTAGCCTGAAGTTTCTGATTCTAACTCGAATCCATAATCAAAGGCAGTCAGATAAGGGTAATAGATTGCCCAGGTGTTACATAAGGATGCTATACCAGCGGGTGGAGAGACACTGCAGTGAATCGGAAGACAAGGTTGCTGA